AGCTAGGACTACTATCAGACACCATGTCAAGCTCATCCAGGTCTGGTCCAATATTGCCTTTCAAGAAGGCGTCTTTGTCCCCATGATGAACAAACACACATGTTCTTCCCATCCCTATAAGCATTCAAACAACACAATGTAACATTCCTTCCATGAGTACTAATCCAAGGATTAACAAGGAATACAAACCCTAAAATATATATCAAACAACAACCCTAACCCTAACCCTAACCATAACCCTAGCCCTAAACCTAACCCTAGCATCAACATAGAACACCCATAAGAATAACCCTAACATACTAACAAAGCCTAATCATAGGAAATTGGCAAACAAACATCTCACATCTCCATGCAAATCTCTAGATCCAAACAAAAGTAGGGTTTCCCCAAACTAGCAACAAATGAGCAAAATGGTAAAATTACTTGGATCAAAACAAGGGGATTGGAGAAGATTATCTTGAGGGAGGGTTTGACTTCGAAATCCATGGACAAATTCGCCAAATTTGCAAGATTTGGGAAAGGATTTGAGAGGGGGAGAGAGTGGGAGAGGGGGCAAAGCTTGGGTGGGGTGTGTGGGGTGGGGGAGTGGGGGAGGGGGCCCAGCCGAGTGGCTGGATAAGTCACAGTGCAGCGCCCGAGTGCCAGGTGCTGCACTTTAAATGTGTGGCGCCAAGCTCTGAGGCGCTGCACTGCTGGGTGCGGGCCCAGGGGCTGCCATGGTGGGCAGGTGTGCAATGCCCCAGAGGTAGGCACTGCAAAGTAGGGTGTGGCGCCTGCGTGGCGAGCGCTACACAAAAAGGTCAGGGACGTGGAATAGTTTCACAGGCAGTTCATTCTGTGATTTGATTTCGTGCCAAGGTCAAAATTGTCAAATTTGCCAGTGGTGGTAGTGTTTGGACCGCAATACTTGCGAACACCCAATGCGGAAGACACTGCTCGGATCCTAGCATAGAATGGAGCAATAGGATTTCCTTGGATGCTTGGAAGCATCGACTGCATGCATTGGAAATTGAAGAACTAACCATTTTCTTGGCAGGGGTTGTACAAAGGCGCCAAAGGCGGTTGCAGTGTGGTACTTGAGGTAGTGTCCACACAGGACCTCTGGATCTGGCACTCTTTCTTTGGGATGCTAGGAACTCACAAAGACATCAACGTCCTGCAGTGCTCCCCTGTCTTTGCCAAGCTTGTTGAAGGTCATTCTCCTCCGGTGAACTTCGAGGTCAATGGGCGGCACTACAACAAGGGGTACTACTTAGCTGATGGCATCTATCCGAGACGGTCGACATTTGTGAAGACTATCTCAAACCCTATGCTAGGAGGCAAGAATGCCTTCTTTGCGAATGTTCAGGAGGCTTGCAGGAAGGATGTCGAGCACGCATTTGGTGTGCTCCAATCTCGATTTGCTGTTGTCAGGTACCCTGCTCAAACCTGGTCGAAAGATCAAATGTGGGAGATCATGACTTGATGTTGTAGGGTGGAACCCTATATGGGGATCTTTCATGAATTGGAGGGGAAATCCCCAAGAACACGAAGAACACGAAGAACATAAGAGAGGGGAAACACTCAAATTGACTAGATCCAATCACACATATGCTAGATCCAAGAACACACAAGAGGCCGCAATGAATCCAAGGACAACAAATGGAAGATACAAGGTACTAGTTCATCCCAATCCTATGAGGAGAGAGGTCTTGATGATCCTATGATGGGAATCCTTCCCAAGATGGGGGCTTGATATCCACTAGGGCTCTCCTAGGAGGCATTGATCTCCTAAAGGAGTGGGTACAAGGAGCAAAGCTCTCTAAATCATCTCATATACTTTGCTATCCCCTCTAATGAGCTAGGTGGGGGGTACTTATCGTTTAGGGATGAAATAAGAGGGGGAGAGGGATACAAGGGCAAAAGCCCAAAAAGGCGCACAGGCCCTCGGGATGGTGCGAGCACCCGGGGTCAAACCGACCGGGCACCCGGACCGGTCAGGGGCGCCGGTTGGAGGAGAACCGGGCACCCGGGGGTCCAAGGCCCGGGCACCCAAGGCGGGGCTGGTGGCTAGCGCGGGGTAGGCCGGGCACCCGGGGCGAGCTGGGCCTGCTCAGGCAGGAGGCCGGTCACCCGAGCTCAAGTGGTCGAGCACCCGGGGTGCGGTCCAGGCGCTGGCTGGGTGAAAGGCCGGGCACCTGGGGCCTTGGGGCTGGGCACCCGGGCCAGGCTGGGGCGACGCCCAGGCGTTGGCCGGGCACCCAAGGGCGACGCGGCCGGGCACCCGGGGTGTCCAGGGGACTTGGTCCCTCCCGCAGCTTCGTCTCCGGGAACTCCATCTCCTCGCACGTCTTGATGCTTCCCCTTCTTCTTGGGTCTCCGGTGAACTTGGTGATTCCTCCTCCGTGCTTCCTCATGACGATCTCTGAAGTACATAAGAATGCATAACGTTTCCATTTGAGGTAGAACCCGACTCTCGTGTGAATCCAAAAGAAACTCGAAGAGGAAAGAGTTAACCTTGGTTTCGATGGTGCGTGCACGTGCTCTTGTCATTGGTCCACGAGGTGCTTGACGAGTTGTAGTGGAGTCCATGGGGATGAGCTAGGGATGCTCCACATCATCTCCCCCCCCCCCTTGGGAGAGATCCGTCCATGGATCGTGATCCTCATCACCATGGGAAAGAGAGGGTGTCGTCGTGTAGAAGTGGGCAACCACCAAGTACTCATTATCGTCAAGCTTGAAATTGGCACTCTCCAATGTCGCACCATCTAGTGATTCCTTCAAAAGTAACAAGTAGAACAAACACTTGGAAAAACAAATGCGGTTGGCGTTAGAGCAAAACCAAGCATTCAAGAGGTGATTCACCAAAAAAGTGTCGTCATCAAGCATAGCATATGGTGTGACAAGGGAGTGTGGCATGGCATGTAAGCACATAACTTGAGCACATGGAAAAGCATCATGGAAACAAGCATGCAAAGGTGAGGTAAAGATGCTAAAACGGTTGACAAGAGAACAAGCATCAACCTCAAGATCATAGCAAGCATGCATAAGACTCTCAATGAACGGTCTATGGTAGGCACAAGAGTCATTCACAACACCAAATGAAAGGCAATGTCTAAACACATGGGTCAAGTGCAAGACAACCCAAGCATAATGTGCATATGGTGTAGTGAAAATCGAGTGGCACTCAACACAATAGAAAGAGCAATTGTTCATAATGGGTGAGGCAATCAAATCAATCATGTGACAAGCAATAGGACACGGCATATGTGAAGGAATGACATTGTTGCAACCAAACATATGATAGGATCAAGTAATCCAAGAAGTGGATGCAACAAGAGAAAGCATAGAAATCAAGTCGTGCAAACTAGTGGAGCAAAGATGCAACACACTAGAGGAAATCATGGCAATCATGTCATATGAGCAAATGATAGACATATAAAATGCACATGACATATCGCAAGCATGAACACAAAGCAAGATCGTAGTATCATTATAGGAATGTGGCATAAATGGAACATGGCAATAACAAGCAATATCTCCACCAAGCTTGTAGATACACATACAAGTATTAGAATCAATCATCATGTGTAATGCAAAGCATGGGTCACAAATGCATGGCAAAGGCATAGGAATGAGCATATCATGCAAAGTGAACATGGCAAGATGGGCATATAATATGTAATGGACAATAACCCATAGCCACGTGAGGGCCATGTAGAAGAAATGTGCGAACACTTTGCGCGAAGAGAGCGGTGGGAAAGACACTCCAAGGGATCCCAAGTCATCGTTGCTCTCTAGAGCTCGTTTTGTCAACTTGTGGGATTGCGAGGTTGACAAGTATTCATGTGTACCTACACAAAAGAGACACAAACCAAAGAAATTGTGTTCGTGGTAAATGTACACATCATCCATCATGATGTGTATGTGCACGTGTGAGTTAGTACAAGATAAGAATCGCTCAAAGAAATTTGATGCATGGTACAAGAACATGTCATCCATCATGAAATAATAGTTGTTATGTATGACATGATGGGGATGCAAGTCTAGCATACAAGTATATGGCACATCAATAGAATTTTCATTCATGGGGAGCATATGGTGCACACAAGTAGTGGGATCATGCAATGGATAGGATGAATCTAAATCTCCTAAAATATATGAGGAAACTATGGGGGTCTCCTCATGAGAAATAGTGGAAACATCATAGGGAGAATATGAACAACATCCAAAGCAATGCATATCCGAAGCAAGGTGGTCATGGCATGGCATATGAGATAAATGATGCAAAGGGAGCATATCAACATCATCACAAGAAAAACAAATGCCAATAACCATGGGCTTGTCATCTATGCCATAAGTGCAAATTGGGTTTAATTTGATGGCATATACATAGTCACTATGAAGAGATTGTAAATATGACATATCACTACTAGGGAAAACCTTATACACAGAAGTTTATCAGTAGTGCGGTTTAGAAATGGGAGCTACTACTAATTAGTAGTAGCGAGGGGTATAAAAACTGCGCTACTACTAAGTTGATAGTAGTAGCGAGGGTTATAAACCCGCGCTGCTACTAAATGGTCTCCAACAATGCCCCTGGGATAGGTCATAGTAGTAGCAAGGGGTATAAAACCGACGCTACTACTAAGTAAGTAGTAGTAGCGCATGTAAGACCCCCACGCTACTACTAAGCGTGTCCACCCGCCCCCCCGATCCACCCCATCCCACCAACCGTCGTCCCACTCCACCCACCCCCATCTAAAAAAATCCACCTCCGATCCAGATCCCCTCCACCTCCACCTCCGATCCAGATCCCCTCCTCCTCCTCCCCGGCCGCACGGCGCGCCAGTCACCCTTCTTCCGTGACCTCGCCTCCCCAGTCCCATCCCATCGCGGCGGCCCCCACTTCGCCTCTCCCGCGGCCGCCCGGCCCTCCGCGTGCCGCCATCGTCCCAGTCGCCTCCCACCCGACCGCCAGTCCGCACCCACCTCCGGAGCAGGTGAGGATCCTCCCCGTCATGGTTTCTGCTCGCTGTCACCGGCCGCATATTTGGAAGTGGGCCATTGTAGATGATGGGTGATTTGATGCACAGATCTCGCTTTTCCATGGAGATGATGGGTGTGATTGGTTGGTTTCTGATGTGGTTTGGTTGCAGGTGAGGAAGGTGGACATGCTTGACGGGGTCACCATCTTGCGGTCCGAGAAGGTCGAGGAGGAGATCGTCCTTGACGGCACCGACATCGAGCTCGTCTCCCGCTCTGCCGCCCTCATCAACCAGGTGAATCAAACAGACGGGATCCGGCCCCTTTCTTTGCTCATGTCCATAATGATGTTGCCTGGATAATTTGGTTGATGTGATGCAAATGACCATGGATCATGTTTGCTTATGCTCCTTGGTTAAACTAGTATGATAGATGTGCATTGAAATCATTGCAGTGTCTTTATATGTTGGGTGTCTGAGTGATCTTTGTTTGTGATGCATATACAGCTTGTGCTGCTCAACATGATGCAAACAGAGGGCTACTTTGGCCGCCTTGCAGTTTGTTGAGCGTTGTGCTGCATGTTTAGATGCCAGTGCACACCCCATTATTGGTCATTTGATTCAGAACGGCAGTCTTATCTGGTTAGTACTGTTATTAGGTAGTGGTTAAATCATACATGTCCATTTGTTTGCAATGATGTGAAGAAGAAACAATGGTAATCTGCCTGAATGATATGCGTCAAGTAGCAGTTAAAAGCTTTAGTCATATGTCCAATCTGTTCGATTTTGGTATAACTTGATGATCTTGTCCAAAATGCAGGGGTAATGTTTACTGCCAACCCCCACAGGGTTGTGAAATTATGGTTCATGATGCGGTACAGATTTGGAAGTATGCAACTAGTGTTAGCAAAGATTCATGATGCAGTATTGATTTTGATTTTATCCTGGGGAAAAAAACTTGTGAACTATTCTATTCTGTTGTACAAAGAAGGTTCACCTATTTTTTACAAAATTTTACCGGAAGTTATTGTCCTTTTTTCTCCCGAAGGATCAAAATTATATTGTATACCGCAAACTTGTTCAAACATCATGTGAAATACTAGCTCGTTCTTCTCAATATAAGACTTAGGAAAGCTGCCCTGCTTTTTTGTAATACTAGTTCTGCTTTTCTGTAAGTTGTTCCAACATTTTCAAGTTACCAGCAGAACTATTCGGTTCTGATGTACAATTGGGATTCTCCTAATGTTACCTGAAATTATTGTCCTTTTTTACATAAAGGATCACAATTACACTGAATACCATACTTTGCTGAATACAGTGAACTTGTTCTCACATCCGGTGAAATACTAGTTCATTATTTTCAATAAATGACTTTGCAAACCTGCCCTGCTTCTTGGTTCTCTCTGCCATCATGGTTACTATTATTTTTGCGTGAGAAGCAGTCTTGAATTTGTTACCTCCATCGATAGATTGTACTATCTACTTTCCATGCTACTGTTATGTGGCATCTCATAACCTGCTATCTGCACATACTTTGCTTCTTTTACTCTTCCATGAAGTTTCATTTTTGTTTTAGCCAGCTTCCCTACAATGACTTTACACTTATCTGTTATTTATGTGCAAGTGTTTGAGATATCCACCTTATTCTAGCTTATAACTCCAGCAACATTGTAATTCTACACAATAATATCATGGCAGTTGTGAGCGTATGTGTATATTGATAGTATCCTCGTCGCTTTGTTGTCGCTTGGACATCAGATGTGACAAATATGTACACAAAGGGGCCGCAGTTAGATGTTCTTAGAGGAACCATGGATGCAAACAGTTCTGGGTTGTAGAGTATAGGCACTCACATGATCCAGAATCATGTATACATGTCATGGACCACGGGGCCCAGCCATGGATGAGCAGCAGTAGTTCAATGTCAATGTCAAGGTTCTTCTAGTTTGAATCTACATACATACATGCTTTACTGAATTTTTGCTGCTTGGTCAGACTCTAGTGTTGAATAAGATGAACACTGACTGCATTGTTTGCTAATTAATTATTTTGCTTGCTCCCACAAAAATTCACTATAATTTAGTTTGCCGATTGGTCTACTTGGATTTCTCAATTTCTTAGCAAAGCCCGCCACACTGCTGCTATCTGTCAACTGAATGAAGCTGCAAAATTTGGAGTTGCTGCTGCTTCTTGTGTTCATTTCCTTGCTGTCGAATTCGTACCTGACTAGTCTAGTTAGTACTATTGCGGCAGGTTGATTGGAACAAAACTCTTGCCCCTGCTTAACATATCTAAAATCCGACCTATCTATATGCACACTTTGAGGAACAAACAAGAGATATATGTGCTTCTGTTGCTTCTAAATTATTGATACGTCTCCAACGTATCTATAATTTTTGATTGCTCCATGCTACTTTATCTACTGTTTTAGGCAATATTGGGCTTTATTATCCACTTTTATATTATTTTTGGGACTAACCTATTAACCGAAGGCCCAACCCAGATCTGCTGTTTTATGCCTATTTCAGTGTTTCAAGGAAAAGGAATATCAGATAGAGTCAAAACGGAACGAAATCAACTGGAGAAGTTATTTTTGGAAGGAAAGCAACCTGATGGACTTGGAGTGCACGTCAGGGGAGTCCCGGGCTGCCCCACGAGGGTGGGGGCGCCCCCTGGGCGCGCCCCCTGCCTCGTGAGCACCCCGGAGGTCCACCGACGTACCCCCTGCACCCATATATACTCTTGTACCCTAAAACTTCCAGAACAGAACCTAGATCTGGAGTTCCGCCGCCGCAAGCCTCTGTAGCCACCAAAAACCAATCGGGACCCTGTTCCAGCACCCTGCCGGAGGGGGATCCCATCACCGGAGGCCATCTTCATCATCCCGGCGCTATCCATGATGAGGAGGGAGTAGTTATGTGTTTGATCTCTCTCTCTCTCTCTCTCTCGTGTTCCCTCTATGGCATGATCTTGATGTATCCCGAGCTTTGCTATTGTAGTTGGATCTTATGATGTTTCTCCCCCTCTACTCTCTTGTGATGAATTGAGTTTCCCCTTTTGAAGTTATCTTATTGGATTGAGTCTTTATGAGAACACTTGATGTATGTCTTGCCGTGATTATTGTGGTGACAATGGGATATCATGTGCCACTTGATGTATGTTTTGGTGATCAACTTGCGGGAACCTATGCATAGGGGTTGGCACACGTTCTTGACTCTCCGGTAGTAGCTTTGGGGCACTCTTTGAAGTACTTTTATGTTGGTTGGATGAATCTGAGATTGTGTGATGCATATCGTATAATCATGCCCACGGATACTTGAGGTGACAATGGAGTATCTAGGTGACATTAGGGTTTTGGTTGATTTGTGTCTTAAGGTGTTATTCTAGTACGAATTCTTTTATAGATCGATCCGAAAGAATAACTTTGAGGTGGTTTCGTACCCTACCATAATCTCTATGTTTGTTCTCCGCTATTAGTGGCTTTGGAGTGACTCTTTGTTGCATGTTGAGGGCTTGTTATATGATCTATCTATGTTATTATTATTGAGAGAACTTGCACTAGTGAAAGTATGAACCCTAGGCCTTGTTTCCTATCATTGCAATACAGTTTACGCTCACTTTTATCGCTCATTACCTTGCTGTTTTTATTATTTCAGATTACAAAAACCTATATCTACTATCTATTTTGCACTTGTATCTTCATCTCTTCGCCGAACTAGTGCACCTATACAATTTACCATTGTATTGGGTGTGTTGGGGACACAAGAGACTCTTTGTTATTTGGTTGCAGGGTTGTTTGAGAGAGACCATCTTCATCCTACGCCTCCTACGGATGGATGAAGCTTAGGTCATCCACTTGAGGGAAATTTGCTACTGTCCTACAAACCTATGCACTTGCAGGCCCAACAACGTCTACAAGAAGAAGGTTGTGTAGTAGACATCAATTATATACATGTATTTTTAGTTATTTAACATGCTCCAAACTTTTTCTGTTCGATTTGGTGCAGGAGGATGCCCAGGCTGACCAGGAGGACACCCTTCTGCACCTCGGCCATCACACAAGGTCTTCCTTCTATTTTTTCCCGCTGTTTGTTCATGTCCTACTTGTGTTTCAGTTCCATTGGCTCCTACTGCAAACAGGTCTATAGCAGGTGCTTGTGTTCTGCATAGTAGCAGATCTGTTTATGTGAGCTACAATGGCCTACTTCTTCCTAATAATATGAACACTATCTCATCTTGCCATTTCCCCTCTCTCCTGCAGGTTAACACCTGGAGAGGCTCGACCTATGAGCAGCGAGCTGTTGCTGCTGCCGCCAGATGCTCCAGCGGCGAAACCTCCATTGATTCCCTCCACGGCCACTACCACTACCCTAGCTACCGCTGCCGATGGAACCACCACCATATCCTCGCTCGGCCAAGACCAGCTCCTTGAGATCTTCCTCCGCCTGCCGAGCCTGCCGGCCCTCGTCCGCGCCATGCTCACTTGCCGCTCGTGGCTTGGTGTCGTCCGCTCCTTTCGCAACCTCTTCCGCGCCCTCCACCCGGCGCCCCTCATCCGGATCTTCCTTGATGTCGACGAAGGCAATGTCTGCTTGTTCGTCAATAAGGACATTACACTGGCAGATTAACACATTTTTTCCATTTCATTTTTCTTATTATTGGAGTGAGGATGTTAGAATGAGGAACTGTATGATAGTAGATACGGCAACAATGTAATAGTATAATCAGGAATAACGACATTTCCATCACTATTGTGTTTTCTTGAATTGTATGCATAAAATGGAATTTGTCGACTTTTTTTAATTCCTAATTCGTTAGTAGTGGCGTGGGGACAAATTTGCACGCTACTGGTATTTAGGATACTAGTAGCTTTGGTATTATAGACACGCTACTACTATTTTGTTAGTAGTAGCGTGGGTTCATAATAGTAGTAGTGTGGGTGGAAACGCGCTACTACTAACTCTGTTAGTAGTAGCGCGGGTTGAACCCACGCTACTACTAACTATTAGCTATAGCGTGATACTAGTAGCGTGGGTACCCGCGCTGCTAGTAGACATTTTACCCGTGCTGCTAGTAGCCTTTTCCCTAGTAGTGTATTGTTGATCTCATGCATAGCATATGACAAGTCAAGCGGATTGTCAAACATGATGTGACCAAGAGAATTATCACAAGAAATCCTATGTAACATGGCATCACAACTAATAGACTCCACATGGCAATCATCAAACTCATCGTAAATGGGAAATCATCGCATGGGGAAGTCGAACTAGAATGAAGCATGCCAATAGGTGGATCAACATCATGCAAGCAAACAATACCAAGGATGTCCACTAGTGGGACTAGAACATCACCTTCACCTATGTTACCTTGTTCATTCCACTCAAGTGGTGTAGGCAAGGCGGCAAAGACCAAATGGTGGTCATCATCATCAACTTGATGGAACCGCGTGGGGGGTGCATCATATTCCACCATGGCCATCATCTTGTCCATAGGAAGGACAAAGTCGTCGCAGATCGGCACATCATCATATATGGGACCTAGGACCAAAGGAGAATACACAATAGAGGTAGAGATTAAGTCGTTAGAAATCGAAATGGCCTCACATGCCCTATCAACTACCTCTCTATGTGGTGGTGGCTCACTCACTCCCTCAAGGTAGGTGCACTCAATGTCACATATGGTGGAGTCACTCAAATCACTCAAGTGGTGGTGGTGGTGTCTCTCCTCACATGGGAATTGTGGCAACTCATCATATATGGGGCTAGTGGTAAAGTCACTCTCACTCTCAATATGGTGGCACAAGTCACTCAAGTCATCATACGTCGCCATGGCCGAGGGGAAAATCCCGTGCTCAACCATCTCGTTGTCGTTGCCATGGATGAAGGCCTAAGATGGCACATCATTACTCTCCTCCATGACCGAAGGGAAAATCCCATGCTCGATCATCTCGTCACCGTTGTCGTGGGTGAAGGTCGATGTAGGCGTATTCGTCGGAGGTAGGTGAAGATGTCGTACGTCCAAAGGCGAAGATGCCTTGATAACACTTGGCAAAGATGTTGAAGTGGTGGTAGTAGCCGTAGCTTCCTCTCGGTGGTGATGGTGTTGTTGTAGTTGCTGGTGCTCTTCATTGCCATACACCTTGGGCTTGCGGTTGTCTCGAAGATGATGATGGTGTCGCGTGGTACTTGCATCTTGTGGCTGCTCCGAAGACTTGCGACTTGAGCTTCTCCACCTTGAAGATGATGAAGAGGAAAAAGACTTGTAGTTGGCCCACACGTGTCGGATGTCATCCAATTGTGCATCCAACTTGGTGTCGATGTAGTCCCTTATCCGTGCTTGGTGTTGGTGAATGTCAATGGTGAGTCACTCAATGCCTCGCATTGCTCGTTGTAGTCTGAAGATGGGCATTCTGGTGATGTAGTTGCTCGCGTTGTCGTTGTCATGGAAGACCGAAGATGAAATGCTTTCCTATCCATCACAAGACTCAAGCAAATATGAGTGGAAGAAAGGAAAGAACTAGACCAAATGTACCTTTCCAATGTTTTAGATGGATCAATGATCACTCAATAATGTATCAAGGAAATAGCACAATTGGTACCAGATCTTGTCAATTATCACACCTACACAAGTAAGGCTTATGGTGGAGCTCGGTGAGGATGGTGGCACAAAAATTTGATGCAAAATTTTAGCAAGAGTCAATAATGTTGGAAAAGAGTCACAAATTCGCAAGTGAAACAAGTAGACCAGAGCAATATGTGGCACACGGAAACAAACACACGGATAGATACATGGGGTCGTGCAACCAAGGAATGAGCACAAAATGTGGAATCCACGGAAAATGCTCGTGTTGCACAACTCAAGAGGGACTCTAGCATGATTGCTCAATAGGCGGATACGACACTTGTGCACAACCTATAGGATGCAAAATGTATGAGCCTTCGATCCCAAGAATGCTATGTGTATGATGTTCCCGGTGTTCTTCTCAAGATGATCGGATATGGCAATCTTATGTGCAATGTGGTATGATGCTATGGCTCTTGCTCACAAGCTCTTTGCTCTCTTTTTGTTTAAAAGCTTATTCTTTTTTTTTGATATGGCCACTTATGCGAAATGCACAAACCAAGATAGCAATTGTGTATATGTGATACGTCTCCGTCGTATCTATAATTTTTGATTGTTCCATGCCAATATTCTTCAACTTTCATATACTTTTGGCAACTTTTTATACTATTTTTCGGGACTAACATATTGATCCAGTGCCCAGTGCCAGTTCTTGTTTGTTGCATGTTTTATGTTTCGCAGAAACCCAATATCAAACGGAATCCAAATGGGATAAAAACGGACGGAGAATAATTTTGGAATATTTGCGATTTTCCGGAGGAAGAATCAACGCGAAACGGTGTCCGAGGTGGCCAGGAGATAGGGGGACACGCCCAACCTCCATGGGGGCGCCTGGCACTCTCCTGGGCCACCAGTAAGGTGGTTGACGCTCTTCTTTTTCTGCAAGAAAGCTAATTTTACAAGAAAAATCAGGGCGAAAGATTCACCCCAATCGGAGTTACGGATCTCCAGATATAAAAGAAACGGTGAAGGGGCAGAATCTGAGAATGCAGAAACAGAGAGATAGATCCAATCTCGGAGGGGCTCTCGCCCGTCCCAAGCCATGAGAGCCAAGGACCAGTGGGGAAACCCTTCTCCCATCTAGGGAGGAGGTCAAGGAAGAAGAAGAAGAAGAAGAAGAAGAAGGGGGCTTCTCTCCCCCTTGCTTCCGGTGGCGCCGGAACGCCGCCGGAGGCCATCATCATCACCGCGATCTTCACCAACACCTCTGTCATCTTCACCAACATCACCATCACCTTCCCCCATCAACTCTCCCGCAACCCGCTGTACCCTCTACTTGAACATGGTGCTTTATGCTTCATATTATTATCCAATGATGTGTTGCCATCCTATGATGTCTGAGTAGATTTCCGTTGTTCTATCGGTGATTGATGAATTGCTATGATTTGTTTGAGTTGCATGTTTTATTATTGGTGCTGTCCTATGGTGCTCTCCGTGTCGCGCAAGCATGAGGGATCACCGGTGTAGGGTTTGCAATATGTTCATGATTTGCTTATGGTGGGTGGCGTGAGTGACGGAAGCACAGACCCGAGTAAGTAGGTTGTTTGTGTATGGGATAAAAGGGACTTGATACTTTAATGCTATGGTTGGGTTTTACCTTAATGAATCTTTAGTGGTTGCGGATGCTTGCTAGAGTTCCAATCATAAGTGCATATGATCCAAGTATAGAAAGTATGTTAGCTTATGCCTCTCCCTAAAATCGAATTGCAATAGTGATTACCGGTCTAGTAACATAGTCAATTGCTTAGGGACAATTTCACAACTCCTACCACCACTTTTCCATACTCGCTATATTTACTTTATTGTTTATTTATCTAAACAACCCCTACTTTTTTATTTACATGTTCTTTATTATCTTGCAAACCTATCCTATCACACCTACAAAGTACTTCTAGTTCATACTTGTTCTAGGTAAAGCAAACGTCAAGCGTGCGTAGAGTCGTATCAGTGGCCTATGGGACTTGAGAGAGTATTTGTTCTACCTTTAGCTCCTCGTTGGGTTCGACACTCTTACTTATCGAAAGAGGCTACGACTATCATGTATACTTGCGGGTCATCAAGACCTTTTTCTGGCGCCGTTCCCGGGAAGTCATAGCGTGGGGTGAATATTCTCGTGTGTGCTTGTTTGCTTTATCACTAAGTAATTTTTATTTGCTGTTCTAAGTTGTTCTCTATCTTTAGTTATGGATATGGAACACGAAATACCAAAAAAATTAGGTGTACTTCCTACTCATGGAGATGGGGAACCTCCTAAAACCCTCGATGCTCGTTATGTTCAAGATATTATGTACTACTTTGATAATCCTGAGAAAACCCCATTCAATTATGTTATGGGAGTAACGTTGGATCAACGTGAATACTTTAGGGATTATCACTTGACACAAAAAGGGAAACTATTATGGGATCAAATTTCTATGTTGCGTTGGTATGCTCGTCAACTATGCGTGATACATGATTATACTTGTTGCTCTAGGATGAAGTCTCCACACCTTCCCTTTTCATGCAAATTCAATGATAATGAAACCTTAGCTTCTTATGCTAATGGTATCTATGATTACTATGATGTGGAACAAATAGAAGAATTTGTTTCTTTTATTGGTGCTTATGAGGTTGAATCTAAAGTGTTTGATGATTTTGATGATTCAGTTTATAGACCAGAAAATCTTGCTATACTTAGATATTGCTATGAAAATTATGAATACAATTACAATATTCATGCATTTATTGAGAAAGTCTCCGCTATCCAAGAAGAGACTAATATTTTGCAGGAAGCTATGGAAGATGAAATTGATGAAACTGTGAGCTCATTGGATGAAAAAGGTGATGAGGAGAGTGAAGAACAAAAGGAGGAAGAGCGGATTGATCACCCGTTCCCACCTTCTAATGATAGTAACTCTTCAACTCATACATTGTTTAATTCCCCTTCGTGCTTACCGAAGGATGATTGCTATGATGATTGTTATGATCCCTTTAATTAGTATGAAATATCCCTTTTTGATGATGCTTG